CTGGCTGCTATTGAGGATAGCTTCAAGCACAGTTGGAATGGGTACAAGAAATACGCATGGGGTCATGACGAGATTAAGCCCGTCACAGGAACATACAAGGATCCTTTCGGCGGTTGGGCAGCCACGCTTGTCGATTCTCTCGATAGCCTATGGCTTATTGGTATGAAGGAAGATTTCGAGCTTGCGGTGAAGGCATGCGATGACATCGACTTTTCGACCACAGAAGCACGCGATATCAATATCTTTGAAACGACAATTCGATATCTCGGTGGTTTCCTGGCGGCGTACGAACTCAGCGAGCAGCAGTACCCAAGCCTCCTTAGTAAAGCAATTGAAGTTGCCGATTTAGTGATGTCGGCCTTTGATACGCCTAACCGCATGCCTGTTACTCGATTTCCATGGAAAGAATATGTCAAGGGCCAGCCCCAGAGAGCCCGTAGCCACGTTTTGCTTGCTGAGATTGGGTCGCTGGGCCTCGAGCTTACGAAGTTATCGCAGTTAACAAATGACATGATGTACTTCGACGCAGCGCAGAGGATATATGACGGTCTGGAAAATGACCAAAAGACTACCGTCCTACCGGGAATGTGGCCTGTGATAGTCGATGCTTCGAAATCGCCTATTAAGTCAACTGGCGACGGGTTTACCCTCGGCGGGCTGAGCGATAGCACCTACGAATATTTAGGAAAGCAATATCTCTTGCTTGGAGGTGCGCTTGACCAGCCGCGCAAGATGTACGAGGGTTTCATCGAGGTCGCGAAGAAGCATCTCCTTCGCCGTGTCTTAAATCCAGACAACCTTCCACTGCTCTTCTTTGGCGATGCGCGCGTCGTCAATGCGCCAACTGGTGAAAAACAGGTCGTGACGACCCCGGTGGCGCAGCATCTGACGTGTTTTGCGGGAGGTATGGTGGGTATGGCAGCCAAGATATTCGACCGCCCAGCGGATTTACACGTCGCTGAACAGCTCACCGACGGCTGTGCGTGGTCCTATAATGCTACTGTCTCGGGTATCGGGCCCGAGATTTTTCATTTTATCCCCTGCGACCCCGATCCGGCGAAGGACGACTGCCAGTGGAGCGAGGAGCGCTGGGTTGGGGCGCTGACCAAGTATTGGGGACAAGGTACCAAGGGCGAGAAGCTTTCCGACGAACATCTCCAGAATATCATAGAAACGAAGCGGCTGCCTCGTGGCATGGTCGAGGTCGACGATCGTCGTTATATCCTCCGACCCGAAGCTATAGAATCCGTGTTTTACATGTGGCGCATGACGGGGAACACCAAGTTTATGGACCAGGCGTGGGCTATGTTCGAAGCGGTCGAGAAGTGGACGCGATCGAAGTACGCGTCCGCCGCGCTGGACGACGTAACGCTTGAACGGCCGAACCAGGTGGACAGCATGGAAAGTTTTTGGCTAGCGGAGACGTTAAAGTATTTCTACTTGATTTTTGCCGACTGGGAGCTTGCCAATCTTGATAAGTGGGTTTTAAATACGGAGGCTCATCCTTTTAGACGCGCTGATGCTTGATACCTGGATTTATTGTACGAGGACGAAATATGATACCCCCTAAATAAGCGTGTATGATGTATAATATTGCGCTCATCGGCTAGATTATTGTTTTGACGTGCTACGGTGGAATTAGCATAATAAATCGCACCGTCATGACTTGGCTCGAGTTCTACCTCGCCCCGTTTAGAAGTCGCGAGCATTCGTGGATAGGTAGAACCCGGTAAGATATATTACCCAAGATACATTAAAGAAAGGCACTCGAAACAATATGAAAATAAGAGATGGTTAGATTTCCATTTTCAGTGACAGATGTTGAAAGTAGAAGAACCCTGGCCGACATCCGTTGCATTTTCTGGGGATCGTGAAGTCAGGGACTGGGCACTTTTTTTCATTCATTAGGTACCTAGGTACATACCTAGGTACTCATCCGAGGATTACGAACACCCATCCAATCCCAAGCAAGTGCATGTCTTACGTTCTACAGTTTATTCATTCCCGCTACTAAACCAACCTTAGGTAGCCAATTAGAATGGCCACTTTAGGCTCGTGTTCTATTACCGCAGTTGGCTTTTCTGGGCATCCCGTCTTGTGTCCTTTCCGTCCACTATCCATTAGCTCTTTGCCACAGAGCCAAGAGGCTTTCGTCATAAAGTGCACTGAATGGGACAGTCATCTAAATAAGGATCCTCCCGACCTCCTTCTTGGGAGAAGCTTGATAGGTGGATAGCTGGGCTGTAAGTACGAGCTACGAATGTGCCTAGTAGTAGCTAATAGCTGTGCCACTTTATCTTCACTGTGATTTTTCCATACTCATCATTTACCTTCGCGCCTCCTAGGCAGCTAGGCAATCCTCTTCCTTTGTTCATTTTAAAATGAACAGTGTAGGGCACTACAACATCCTATTCATCGAGTCAGACAATCGATTATCCTAATCACCAATCTCTACCTACCTACGTTAGATAATTTTGTTGAGAGTTAAGAAGACCCCCGAGTCTACTATGTAGGCAAACCAATAAGCCACCAACAAGCGCATGCAGTTGGGGGATATTCATTTGGGACTAGAGGCAGGCTTCTTTGCTCATCGCACCCTATCATCCCGCATTCCATATCCCACGCGTCTATTTCCTCAGCTTTTCCACGCAGATAGGATTTATTAGGGACGCTCCGTATGTCCGACCTCCGAGCTCACTTCGTAACTACCGTGACGGCATAAGTGAGAGATATTTCCTCAGTCATGGGTTCAGACATCTCCCCTGCGGCTGCGTTACAGTCGCACGCATGCAGCTGTCAGCAAGGGCGAGATCCCAGCCCGAGGGATTCGATAAATACCCTAAGCCCATATTCCCTTTCAGACCACGGCTCTCACAAGAACGCTACTAGCACCGGTGTTGAAGCTATGAGTGATAATAACGAACGACCTGTGGCCCGCCACCCGCCCGCCGCGGTGGATATCGAGTCGCAAGCTGGAAACGCGCGCTATAGGGACAGCGACCCCTACGACTTGTCTTCCCGTCTCAAGACGGCTGAACAGCTTGACGAGATTAAAGCTAATACCGCTCGCAAGCGTACCAACCAGGGCGGACCCAACGTCGCCAAGTTTGCGCCCAGCTTCAAAGCTCGGAAGGTTCATAACTTCTACCACGAACAAAACGAAAGGATCGAGCGACTGCTCAAGTCAGTCGATGAGCACAGGGCCGACCGCGAGCAAGAGCAAGGCGACGACCACCTGCGTTATCAGATCGCCGTATGGGGCTCCCTTGCTGCCAACGTCGCCCTAGCCATCTTGCAAGTGTATGCTGCTGTATCCTCGGGCTCTCTTTCGCTCTTCACTACCATGGCCGACTCGATTTTCGACCCGCTCAGCAACCTACAGCTGATAATCCTCAACCAAGCCAAGAAACGTGTAGACCCCAGCCGGTTCCCGTCCGGCAAGATACGGTTAGAAACCGTTGGCAACATCACGTTTTGCTTCATGATGATCACCGTGGGCGCAATTCTGATCGCCTTCTCGTGCCAAGACATCTCGAACCGATTTGGTTCAAGTGCTGCAGTTAATGACTTCCACTTGCCGTCGGTAATCGCAGTGTGTGTCGCATTCACAACTAAACTGAGCTTGTTCCTCTTCTGCTGGCACCTAAAACATAAATACAGCCAGGTGGAAATTCTGTGGAAGGACCATCGCAACGACTTACTCATCAACGGCTTCGGTATCCTAACGTCTGTCGGCGGCTCCAAGCTCGCATGGTGGATTGATCCCACCGGTGCCATCGTCTTGTCGTTGGTCATCATGGGAATATGGCTAGGCGACGCTTACGAACAATTCATGCTGTTGGTCGGCAAGGCAGCTCCTGTCGAGATGCAGCAGCTGATCACGTACATTTGCCTCACGTACCACCCCTCCATTCTCGGTATCGACACCGTTAGAGTGTATCACTCCGGACCGAAGCTTCTTGCCGAGATCGACATCGTCATGGACCCCGACGAGACTCTCCGAGTTACGCACGACGTTTCTCAGAGTCTGCAAGACGAGTTGGAGAAGCTACCGGACGTGGAGCGGGCCTTCGTTCACGTCGACTGGGAGACGGATCATAAGCCGGAGCACTCCACGAAGAAGGACTTGTGATTTATATGGCTTGGTTATTGGGGTCGATAGTACATAGATTAGGTATATCGCATCGAGAGGTTTACCGAATCAAGCGTGTAGTTGATCCTGGTGTTTCGAACGAAGGTTGAGGTGATATAAGGCGTATACATGTGGGCGCGGCAAGGTCGGCAACTCAGGAAAGGGGGAGGCGGCGGTACCGGTGGTGCCCGGGTTGGACATGCTGGTACCTACGCGTATCTAACACTTGTTTCCGGCGTCGGATACGTTATCCACGTACATAGTTTTTAATGTGTTATATCAAGCCTCAACTTACATTCTGTCGTCATAAGATATGTCCCTCGTAACCTCAAAGATATAATATGCAATCCCGTTGTTGAGTTCAATGGCTATGGAGGAAACCACATAGGTGTTTAGCTTTAAAGCCCAAGCGATCACCCGGGTGCTGGAATGTGCATCCCATATCAATGCAATATATATATATTTGTTTAGACTTACCTTGATCTACCCAGTTTGACACTACATATATATCTAATAATCTCCTATCAACTCTTGTCCCATTACGATCGTGATTTATCCGGTCAGTCCGCACAGTTGCTTCCAAACCAAAACCATCTTTAGTTGGCAATATATGGCTTCACTTGAGTCCTAGGTTCCAAAGCAATTGGGCGTCTATAAAGCTGGGCAGGCACGCGCCCCCGAGCCCTCCGCTTCGAATAATGCCGGCGCAGCAATCTACCTACCAGTAAGATAGTACTGATTGGACATACGCTTATTTTGCTATTCAAACAGAGTCCTCTCCACACCCTGGCCCACCACACAAATTGATACTGTTATCAGCTACCCTAACTCAATTAAGTTTTCATCAAGTCAACAAATTGGCAACAAATCTCGATTCGTCTAGTGGTTAGGATACCTGCTTGTCATTGATGACTATTCGCAGGTGGCCGGGGTTCAATTCCCCGATCGAGAGAGAATTTCTTTTTCTCCCTTTGCAGATTTTCGTCTTTCCGTGTCTATTAATTTTGCAGCTCATCTGTTGTTATCTTTCCTTGTCTTTGCACGCGACTGCGTCAATATGTAGCAAGTTCTAGTAGATAGGCAAGTGGTGGCAGCATCAAAGCCTTGATTGGGAAGGCTATTGATGTAGCGCTTGCTGCCACGGCCATAAGATCAATATGCGGGAACTGATCAATGCTTCGCAGTGCGACTCGTCTTCAGCTGGCTTGGAATTAAGTCGTGGTGTAAAGATAATAGATGACCCCATGGGCTACATCAGTGATAATTTCACGTAGGAGTCAAGCAATAAAGCATGACGGCATGTATATTAATACTATGTCTTTGCTATGCTATTAGAAGGTTTCATGTACGCAATGGATACTATTTAGAAGTGTGTAATGAATTTCATGTGCGGAGTTCCGTGATGGGGTTCGTCATGAAGTTTAAACCCTACAACTGGCCTTTCTTACGAATTGATGGTGCGGTAATAGAGTTTCAGGTATAGGATCCGGTCGACAAAACTGATACTCATTGCTGAGGCCATTACCCACAGCCCTAGGTTAGGACCTAGGAAGTTGACTTCTACTCAATCCTGCGTCCAGCAAAGTCGTTTTCGCCAGCCTATCATACTATACCCCACAAAGTCATTAGTGTGTCTTGGGAAGAGAGTGCGGAGACATCTCAAGTGGCGTCCTTGGGGTGGCATGTGTTCGGTTCGGGATTACTGGACAGTTCTATGGACATGTCTTGCGGTCACGACTACGTCGATCGGTTTGTAGGATCGTCGTTCTAGAGGGGGCGGGTGACCATCATGTGGGGGGTCCATCTTGTCTGCTTGTCTGGCATGACGTTTTCTCAAGTCCGATCTGGTGAGGAGTGGGGAGATCCAAAGTCCCCAGAAAGTGGAATTGAAAGCTTCTTTATATCTCAGGGTCTTCTCGTATCTAAGATATCGATCTAGCTTTTGCTTTACCGTGACACTGTGTGTGACATGCGTTATGTCGAGCTAGGATCCTAAAGCCGGGTTGCGTGGGGTAAAACAACTCCAAACAAAAGCTTCCCCAGTTTCATCACTGAGCATGTGCGTGAGATAAGGTCAAGCTACTGGCAGTGAAGAGAAAAAGGATAAATTGGCTGTTTCCTAACCTGGATTTTCTACGCAGGTCCAGTGATGCTAATTGGCCGGGTCTTGAAAAGTCACTTTGCGGGGTTCCCATATATGTCTTTTGATTCGCCATCGGATAGTCCCGTCCGAATAAGAATTCGCATGTATACCTACACTAAGAAAAACTGTGTCGTCATTTTACGTGTACTTCCTTACCTAGGTACATAAAGTACCTACTAGGTAGAGAGTGAAGCTTTGCTCTCGGATAATGCCCAGATCTGGTATCCCTTCTGAGGCTGTTGCTTACTTGTAATATTGGCTTGCATCCATGGTAATGTCGATGATCCTAATCCCTGCTTCGGACTTGTTCGTGTAGGGTAGCGCGCTTAACATGTAGGGACCACAGGTACTCGTAGGGACCATAGCGGTGGCCCAATGTATAGGTTGGGCGAGGCGAAGATATATACACGAGGTTCATAGGTATATCATTGGACAACTTCCACATACCTGACTTGGAGATAACAACTACATAGAGTGGAATCCCCCCTCATGTGGACTGCTGGTTTGTCCAATATCTTGGCTCTGGTCGAGCTCTTGCGAATTGCAAAATGACATGGTTCGGAAAGTGGATAAAAAGTTCCATGGCGCAGTTTGGCGAGCGAGCTATGAATGGAGCTATGAATGGAGCTATGAATGGAGCTATGGCTGTATGGGTGGCTGTATGGGGGCACCCGTGCACGCCGGGGGCCGGGGTTGCTCGCATCCAAACGTTTGCTGCATGTTTCTCTGCCTGCCGTATCTCGGTGCGTCGCTGCATCTGCATCCATCTATATAGACTGCCGAATATAGACCACACCGTGGACCTTGGTAACACGTATCTACCTAGGTAGACAGACATCTACTATACCTCTCGTTTCTATCCCTTACCCACGCACTTGTAGTCTAACCAATGTACTTTGTTGAACTCCCAGCCAAGTCATCAACTGGGCCCGTTCTGCCTGACGTTAGAAAGCGAAATACATAATAGCCCGAGACCCCAAGGCTATCCATGAGATCCTTGTCTAAGGTAACGCTAGTGTCGCATTTTCCCATGGGCCAAAACTCAGAAAAACAAAACAGGCCCTTTTAGCCAACCAGGAAATTGTCCCGCATTGTCGTCGCGAACACCTAAACTTGCTATCATTCACACATCTTTTTTTCTCTCTCTTTCTTCTCTTGCTTCGTCGACTTCCCCCTCTATCTCCGACCCTGCTGCTGTATAGTCTTGCAAGTCCAGAGCTTGAGCTCGAACTTGCCGTGCTTACATTTAGATCCACGTTCCAGCAGCTGTATTCTTCGTATATCTCGACCTGCATACTTGGATCTACCCCTCTTGATTATAATCAATCTGGCGTGATCTTGTCGCCATCCCTTGCCCACGATGGCTGTGCAAGGCGGAGCGGAGGAGGACGTGTACGCCACAGTTCGTTACCTTAGCCTTAGACATCAAGATCGTGAACAGTAGCTAACCCGCGCGTATCTATAGCTTCTTTTGAACGACACATACTTGCCTGGTACGTTATACGACCCCATCAATGTGTGATAGTGCTCTATCTAACCCCTCGCTGAAGGTGCCCTGGTGCTTGCGCATTCTCTACGGGATGCCGGCACTTCTAAGAGGCTGGCCGTCTTGGTCACCCTCGATAACGTATCTGCCGAAGTTGTAACGGAGCTCAAGGTGAGCTTACTGCTTAGTTAGCACCTAGATATTTTGCATGGCTAATCCAATTGGCCAGGCTGTCTATGACTATGTCATTCCTGTTAGCCGCATACGCAATTCTGATCCCACGAATCTACATCTCATGAACCGAGCCGACCTGCACTCCGCCTTTACCAAAATCGTATTATGGAAGCAGACCCAGTTCCGGAAGATTGTCTACATAGATTCCGATGTCGTCGCCTACCGAGCTCCGGACGAGCTCTTCGACATACCACATCCCTTCTCAGCAGCCCCGGATATTGGCTGGCCGGATCTATTCAACACGGGTGTCATGGTGCTGACCCCAAATTTGAGTGATTACTATGCCATGATAGCGATGGCCGAAAGGAACGTCTCGTTCGACGGTGCCGATCAAGGTCTGATAAACATGCACTTCAGAAATAACTACAATCGCATTAGCTTTACCTATAACGTCACACCGTCTGGCCACTACCAATACGTTCCTGCCTACCGCCATTACCAGTCGGGCATCAATATGGTTCATTTTATCGGTTCCCAGAAGCCATGGTTCAAAGGAAGACCCCCCAGCAGTAGCGATGGCAACCGAAACGGTGGTGGGCATGGTAGTTCGCCCTATGACCAGATGATTAGCAAATGGTGGAATGTTTACGATAAGCATTATGGAGTGCCTGTGAGTGGTCCCTCGCGATTCTTGTGTGTTCGAATATGGAATTTGGACATTCAGCTTACCATACCTAGACACCAAAACCTGCATTGTCCTCGACTCCTGGCCCTATCAGAACAACTGCAGCAACAACGACCCGACCAGTGCCGGAGTTGGTTCAATATTTCACCAAGGGAGAATATCAGCCTAAGGCTTCACACATTCTGACAACTGGTGAGCTTTATAGAGGTGATCGCCAAGACCACCAGCAGCATCCCCAGCATGCACATCCGGGAGCGCCTTCCTACGATCACGGTCACCATGATCACCATGACCACCAACACCATAGCCATGTAGAAGCTCAACCCGGAGCCTCCGCCCCTCAGCTTGACCACTCCACTTCCTCCACAGCTTTGTCTTCTTCTCATACCCATCCTGGGGGAACTCATGCTGAGGCTCGAGAAGAGCAGGTCTGGGAGCCCCATCATGGGGCTCACCCTCCCCGAGAGCCGGAGCAGAAGCCACCGCCGTTCCAGGCCACCATGTCAAGCTGGGATGCCCAACGGTTAGTTCGCTGTTCCACATGATCTTCGAAGAATTCAATGCTAACATCGAAATAGAGCTTCCCCTCCCTCCGACTCTAAACCGGAAGCCATCAACTTCCCGTCTATCGTATACGAGATGTCCAAAGAATCCACCCCGTTTGTCGCTCCCGAACGATATCCTAGCCCTCCAAGAAATATGTGGTATGAAGTTCCCAAGGAACGTCCGGCACCGCCCTCAGAGCCTCCCAAGCCTATATTCCCTTGGGAGGTAAGCCGGTTGCCGCCGACTCGCGTCTTTCCCGACGATGTGCAACGACAACAGGAGCCTTCAGTCGACGAATCACAAACGTCTACGGGTATTCCGTGGTCTGATTCGGCGGCCCAGCTGTCGACCGAGTCTTCTGTTACGGATGCCTCAACCGTCGAGCCAAAGAGCGAGCCAGACACGCCAACTACTCCAACAATCCGCGTCACGCCGTCAGATCCCTGGACTTCATTCACATTGACTAATGCTTGGGACGATGTACCTGAGATTGAGCGTTACGTCGATAAGATACAAAAGCATCGGCGTACGCGGAGCCTCAAATCTCCCGGCGTCCTTGGATTGGATGGTCTTGGCGAAGGGGTCGATGAGATTGCCCGGCAGCGACGAGGAAGTAAGCTCACAGACTTCCCTAGTGAAGATGAGCGCCCTAGCCTGCCAGTCACTCCGGCACCCATCCGTCGACCGAAATTCTGGGGTGGTGGTCCCGGGATCGGCTCTGACGATGAGGATGACCAGCTGCTGCCGGCCGCGGAGGGCGTGCCGGCGCAGGCTGAATGGGTATGTGTGCACGGGATGCGGTGGACCCCTGCAGACTGCCTGTGCGATTTGACTAACGTGCTGCGTTATCATAAGGATCCCGTGGCTCAGCTTCAGAAACTGGCTAGGCAACAGTCTGAAGCGTTGCTACGAAGGCTC